TCCTCCACCTCCGGGCCACCCCGCAGCCTCTCTGCCCGCTCCCCATCCAGGGCCTGGCAGGCTGCATCCCCCTTGTACCGCTCGTCCGACAGCTCCGCCGTCAGCTCCATGATCTGGGGGACAACAGCAGCAGGGTGGCTGGGGGGCCCCGGCCCCTGATTACACCCCTCTGGCAGCTGCCTGTGCTTAAGGGACGTGGTAAGTGCAGCCCATCACCGGCCAGTGTCACCAGTGGGAACCCATCGGGCTCCCACCAGCAGTGCCCAGTAAGGAGCAGGTGCAGCTGGAGCCTGGGGCTGCAGCCCTCCCGTGGGGTGGCGAGGCAGCTCCTGCCGTGGCTGCACAGCTGGCACCTGCAGTGCACTGCCTGCACTCAGCTGCCTGCACTGCAGGGTGGCCTCAGCACATTTCCACCCCATTCAAGCTGGTAAGCATCGCATTTCATTTGAAACCACAGGCAGAGGAATGAAGAGGGGGAATGTTGGTCTGGAGAATTCATTCCCTTTCCAGCATGGGGAGGGGTACACAGCCCATCCTGCCCAGCCTGCACTCTGCTGGTGCCTTGGCAGCAGCTCCCTGCCCAGCCCCCTGCCGAGCCCTTCCTGCTCCGTTGGAACTGACGGTCCTGTTTATCCCCAAATGGCTTCATTTCCAACTCAAACAACCGAGGCAGTGACAGGGGCTTTTTTTCAGGCACTACCTTGCTCTCCAGCTTCTCTGCAGTCTGCCTGAGCTCACTGCATGCCTGCTCCGATTTTTCCAGCTTCCTTCTCAGTGCTGCCAGCTCCTCCTAGGGAAGATTGCAAAACAACACACATGCAGAGCTCCAGCATCCTCAGCTGATTTATGAAAATCTCATTTTCTGTTAAAAATAAGTGGGAGAGACATAGCTGCCTTATTAATAAAATTTACCAGCCAACTTTGAAGGCTGCTCACTGCAAATTGCTGAGACTACAGCTCCTGACATGAATTTCATGGGAGGGAATGTCAGCTTTGGTGTATGTACAGAGCACGTTTCATGAGACTGAAGCAAACCTCAAAAGCCCAAGATGAGCAGCCAAATGTCTGAATTCTGCTCATGGAGCATTGCTGGGGCCCTGGCAGGGAATCACAGGGAAGCTGCAAAGGCACATTGTTTTCTGTGATTCCTTTTCAGGCAGCCTGGCTGTCACAGCAGAGAGAGCTGCTCGCTGCAGCCTTGTCCTGCTTTGATGTCCAACACTGAGCAGAAGCAGAACGTGCTGAGTTGGAATAAAAGCAGAGGTTAAGGGGTGATGGGGCCTGATGGATCCCAGGCAGGTTTGGAGAGAGAAACAGAGGCTTGGGCAGCTTTTATTTTGTCTGAACCAGCCTGAAAATGTCTTGTTAAACCCTCGCTAAGGCAAGAGGAGGAGCAGGATGCCAAGGAAGACAGACTAAGAATTTAGCACAGGTCTCAGATGATGCAGAGGGGCCAAAGGTGCCTTTCCTGGGCCAGCAAATGCCCATTAACATGTCCCATCACAAGTGGCAGCACAGATGGAAGGCAGCACTGCGCTAGTGACAGCAGAGAGCAGAGTCCCCTGCATCAAGGACAAGTTTGGCTGCTCATCTCATCCATCATCCCACAGACTGGTGTGGGGCACCCGTCCCCAAGGGGCTCAGCTCAGCAGCCCCAGCCCCAGGGAGCTCACAGGGAGCTTGGGAGTGCAGAGAGGCAGCCCTGGGGATGGGGCTTTTGCCGTGGGGACACAACGCATTTGCTACTGTCCCTCTAAGGAAAGAGAGGAGGTATTTCTCCCTTCACAGCTCTGCAAAACATACCACTTGGGGAAAAAAAATGTGGTGCTAAGAACCGTTGATGACTTCTGGATGGTCAGAAAAACACATCTGCCTTGGCAGAGAGATGCTTCCAATCTGAGTGACCCAGCAGACAGAGCCCCTGAAGCATCCCACCCCACCCCATCCCATCCCTTGGTACTTACCTCCTTTGCACGGAGCTGCTCCTCCCCGAGGTTGACACTGAGCAAGGGCCGCACACGGCTCAGCAGCTGCCACCAGGGCCAGAGTCTGACTGCCTGGAAGACCACCAGGTTCTTCTGGACACAGCGGATGGCCAGGCGTTGGATCTGTGGGGAGACACAGCTGGCAGTGCCCCTTGCCCAGCCGTGATCAAGCCCACCAGGAAGGACCAAGCTGGGGCACTGGGCTGGAGAGGAGTGAGATTGTGGAGGAGCTCTGTACCACATGGGATGGCAAAGTAAGTATCTTTCAATGGAGCAGCCTGTTCTGCTCAAAGAGCTGTAATTTGGGTGCTCTGGGCTGTTTCACAGCAGCACTGACCCTTTGCAGCAGCCTGAGCCTGTGGTTTGGTGGGCACAGGGTGTCCATGACCCACAGGATGGATACCTTCAACCTCTTGAACTTCTGACGGCTGAGGAAGCCCTTGCAAGCAGCCTGGAGCAGGGTCATCTTCTGGGCTATCAGCTTGTCACGCTGCTTCTCCAGTCTGAACATGACCCCTGACTTCAGGAAAACCTGACAGCAAGAAGCAGAGGTCACACACCCACAGGATGGGGTCTGAAACCTGCCCACTTCCCACCTGTTGGTTTACAACAGGAAAAACAAAATTAACCACATCGGTTTCTTTAACTGGACTTGTCTGGAACATCTCATAAATGATAGATGCCAGTGATGTCACTGAGTTTAGCTCAGTATCGATCTCTCAGAGTGCAGGATGTCTCTCAGCCACTGCTGGGTGAAGCTCTGGTGAGATGGAACCCATGGCTCCCCACTGTTGTGCCCCATTTGCATAGGATGCAGCTTTAGCACAGAGGGAGCTGCACCCCTGCAGCCACTGGCACCCTTAAAGGGCTGCATTTTCAAGGTGCCAAACTGAATAAAAGAATAATTCCAAGGAAGCTCACTTTCTTGAGATAATGCTCTGATTGCTCCACCACCTATTTGATTGTCTCATTAATGTCTGCATTAACTTCACAAGGTGGTGAGTTTCAGAAGCTGGTACAAAATCAATGCTGAAAGCGACAGCAAAACTAACTCCTCTCTAACGAGCTGCGGCTGGAGCTGCTATCACACTATTGATTAAGTACAAGGGCTTCATAGAAGAGATAATTGCAAATTGCATCGTGCAGGATGAAAGAAAGTTAGTTTGCTCCACAGAACCACTTCACAAATTCTTTCTTTATAGACTCCCAGAGTGGAAGGCACATGCAAAATTATATTTTCTTGGAGATTGTTGCACTTCTGATGTTCGAACGTTGCTGTGGCAATTCCTGCAGCTGCCCAGCTGAGCAGGGGGTTAACCCCAGCCCACCAAATCCACCAGCTGCTCATGAGACATCAAAGGCAATAAGGCAGGGGCCAGATTGGTGTAATTAAGTAGACAGTTTACCCAGGGAAGTGCTTTCCAATGGGAATTCCAATTCCCGATTTCCAATGGGAACCTTCTGCTTTGATTTGCAGTGAGACTTGGTTTTCTGGCCCACCTGGGCACTGCGGGGAGCAGCAGAGGGGGGGGCTTTGTCCCCAGGGTGGGAAGCCTGGGGCAGCTGCAGTGCTCAGTGGGGTCCAGAGGCACCAAGAGCAACAGGGAAGCTGAGACTAGAGCTGTCCTACCTGGCTGCGTCCTACGGCAACGCTCTTCTTCTCCAGATCCAGCACCTGCAAGAGCTCCTCTATGGCCTGCGGGGAAGGAGCACATTGCCCAGCTGCTCAGAAAACATTTACACCCTGGGATGAACCTGCTGAAATGGGGTGCAGAGACCCCTGGTCCCTTCAGGCACCTAATAAGGGTGACCCAGCTGTGCTCTGGCTTCCCCCTGCCCATGCCCAAGGTGCACTGTGGGGACAGGAGCCAGGCACAGGGCTGCACGGGACCATCCCATCCCATCCCACTCCATCCCACCCCCTCAACGGGGCCTCTGCCTCCTTACAGCTTTTCACAACGATATTGACCTTTTCTGTCTGTCAGACGTGTCATATTAAATCCCAAGGTCCTAACTGCATTTGCACACCCTGGCTGGCAGTTGGAACAACACAGCACGTGCCTGAGTTTAATTCATCTCCTCTTGGCTCTTCTCAGCTCTCTGTGTTTTTCTGTCTGTTCCAGGGATAGGGCTGGTTCTCTCCTAGTCTTTTTCTACAATTTTTTTAATGAAACAAATAAACCTGGCAGATATCCACCTTCCTTTCTGAGCTCCTTCAAATTTCAAGCTTTGAGGGGCGAGGTGAGAAGCCACCCTGCTGCTTTACCGGTGTCTGAAGGCAGGGGATGCCCCATCCCCAGGGACCCTCTCCATGGGCTCCTTGCTCTGATGGATTCCTTGGGAACACTACCTGGCTTGTCCTCAGCCAGCTAGTTTTTTGGGGAGCTGGGGTGAAGCATGGGGTACAGCCAGGCTGGAGCAATGCATGGATCCTCCACACATGCCCCTGGCCCTGCTGTTTGTGCCCTACAAAACCAGAGCTGGCAGGCACAGGCAGAGCACAGAGTGCTCAGTCAGCAGGGCTCTCACAGCCCTTCCCTCTGGAGCATTAAACAGTAGCAATAAGAGGCTTCATTTCCATGCTGATTTTCCAAGCCCTCTCCACGGTGCAATAACGTTGGGAAACGCAGCCCACGCCAGGCGTGTTTATTGCCTCTGCAAAAACAGTCCCTGGGGGGAGAAGCTCCGGGGCCAAGAGCTGAGCTCGGCTGCACTGCCAGGAGCAGCCACACCGGCTGCTGGAGGACCCGAGTCCCCCGGGCCCCGGGGGAAGA